GGCCGGAGGAACCTGATTGAAGAGTCTGATTTAGCCAAAAGGGACCAACACATGCTCTAAATCAAGAGACAAAACAGCAAGCTGCAGCAAGGACAATGATCAGCCAAGCCCTGGCCTGCTGCTTCCACAGGAAACTACACTCAACCAGAACATCTGGGATCTAAGAGTAAGATAAAAAAGAAATCACAGAGCTGGCTTGGAAGACACGTGGGAGGGCAGGAGCAGGCTCAAAGAAAATTTGAGGTTTGCTTGTTCCTAAAATGTTGATGATTCCAGGCGCCATTTAAATCTCAACCCATATTTAGGAGGTCTGTGTTGGAAAGAAATAAATCCAAACTAAAGCTTCTTTTCTGACAGTTCAACTCGAGAGGGGATCGTGTCCTAGGTCCTAACTGGGATACAGCTTAGTTAGACACAAGTTTTTGCAATGTTTTTCTGACTGAACTCTCCAACACAAGCATCCTGCCAGTGTATGTGACTGTGGAAGTGTTTAGAAGCCAAACCTGTGGTCACATGCAGTTTTCAGTGCGAGACAAGCACTCAAAATTTATTTTCAAAACACCACAAAATTCCCAGGAAAAGTAATTATCAAACAATATCAGTGTTAAGAAAACACACAAATATTTAATGATAGACTTGGTACTTTTCAGCTTTTCCCCCTTTCAGCATTTTAAGGTATTGAAAAGCACCTTTCTACAGCAGTTCATTTTTAATTTTGGAAGAACATGTTCTGCTATACACCCAATGTTATAGTATTAAAGACACCTTGAGAAAAGTAATATTTTGAATCCATCTCTGCCTGAACAAACTCCAGAGCCAGAAGTTCAGCTGTGGCCAAGAAAGCAGAAAGAAAAAACCAAGTCTCTCAAATCTGCTCTAGACATGCATACAACAGCTAAAGAAGCCAGGCAGGCTGGCCATGAGGGAGCAGAGTATTCCTGTGTTATCTGGGTATTTAAGACTTGGAGTCTGCATCATCTATCAGCAAAGCACGAAACTTGATGTGTGAGGATGGGCTCTGAAAGCTCAGCAGTCATTTAAGATGTGGAAATACCGCACAGAGGCTCGGGAGAACTGCCATTCCTGGCAGCAATTCCTCTGACCTGTCCCACGAAATACTCCAGAGGCAGATTGTAAGTCTCTTCCTCACTCTTCCCGGATACAGGACTCCGACAGGAAAAATATCTGCAGGCTTTAGGGAGCCCCTCCTGTCTCAGAGGCTCATTCCTCACTGCTTCCCTCAGACTCCAAGGGCCTAGACAGCGGCCACCCACCCCTCCCTAATTTCTGGAAAGGTGAGATAAAGCAGTACAGCCGTGAACATGGAGCTCTACAAAAGTCATTTCACAGCTCTTTAAAACCTCGTTAGCTTTTTTTTTTAGTAACCCTCTTGTCCACCTGCCCACACCACAGCCATGCCTCTGTTCTTCCTACACCACTCTTCCCCACCTCTCTTCAATTCCATCTCTTCACTTCTCTACCCACTGCTTTTTCCATTCGCTTTCAACTGTTTACTTCTCAGTTTACTGTTTACAATAAATCACTGAGTGCAGTTCACCACTCCAACACCATTCATGCTCTGTCAGCATATTGCTCCTGGCCACAGAAATTCAGGTATTTAGTGGCTGATCTACTTTTACAGCCACTGCTTTGCTGTTCTTATCTCTTTCAAGCTATCGTATGACTCAGCTTGTCTTTGTTTCATTTCACGGGTACCTGGCTGTCAGTTCAAGATTAAAAACCCCCACAGAACTCTGAATTTTTCACCTGTCTCTTCTGTTTTGTTGCCTTTCCTTCATGGACAATAGCACCATCCTGTTGGGACATGCAGGGTGCCAGCTCTCTGGGGGCTGTGTTTACATCCTCAGAGGGAAGTTGGATCCAATTTTTCAGGTTTTTGTTCTGTCATAGCTTTAAAATACAACACTCTCTTTCTAGCCACATCATTCAAATCCCTTGCTGCACTTTCAAACCTTCTATTCCAGTTACTGATACAGCTTTTTCTCTAGCCTGACATAATGCCACCCAAAATCCTGCTGCAGAAAGCATCCTCCTCACCTGCTCTTTGGAGCGTGCCATCCATCTGTACAAATCTCTACTTCTCCATCCTTTTCTCTTACAAAGAAGTCAGGCCATGTACCTCAGCTTCCATGGCTTTTGTGGCTTGTTCCTCTCTCTCAGGACCCTGGAGATCTCTCAAGGTATATCCTGGAGACACCAAAACCCACTTTGTTTTCAAAAAAAAAAAGCCTTTTCATGTTTTCTGTGGTTGAACCTATCATGTTTGGGAGGGATTCCCTCTCACTATCTCCAGAAGGTACACTTGACTTCTGAAGCTTTGATACCAATCATCAGCTGAGACAAGAAGTGTGTACAGACAAGCCTCTTCAGATATCACATCTGTAAGTTCTTTTTAGCCAAAATAGTGCTTTTGTGTAGCATCTCACAATGCTGAGCTCCTACCAGGGCTATTAATACTCCCTAATACTGTAATGCTTAAAGTCCTAAGCTTCACTAAATATTTAGTATTAAGTATTTGGTGACAAAAGCAGTGGCTATTATTGGCAGCCTTTGATGTCTAATATTAAATTTAAAGCTAAGAAATCTGGTGATTATCCAAAAGCTTCACACTTCTGAAAGTTACAGAACTGCTGATGCCTGCCTAAGTCACAGCCTGTTTTTCTTTTATTAACTGTAGAAGTTTGAAACACAAGACAGACATTTCTGTATTTAAATAGGCAAGTGTTTACAGTGCTTAAACTGGAATTTTATGATTGGCCTTTAAACAGACCATTCTCTCATCACAGGGCCAACCACTCAGTGACCCTGGATGGGTTCTCAGGATGCAGAACTTTAAGAAAGGTTTACTAGACTTGACCTACACCAACAAACCGAAAGCTCAGTGCCTCAGAGAATGTCAGACTGCTAAAGTAGTCCTTTACAGGTCACAAACTGACTTTGCAAAGTAATTTTTGAAAAAGTAAATCCAGGCGTGCATATAATCAATAAGAGAGTTACTATGTTTGAGACTCAGTACTTGCTGATGTACAAACGGTTGTTCCCACTCTTCAGCTGACCTTGAGTCTTCAACCTAAGCCTGACTTAGAGCACCATCAAAAAAATTAAGTCCAACACTGATAAATCCAATGTCTTGTTAATTTAGTGCTATGAATTTCAAAGCATAGGACAAAAAAACCATCATAAACCCCTATGAGCTCCAGATAAAAAAAAAAAAAAAAGTCACCTGATGATGATTTTAAAAGAGACTTTTCAAGGCCAGACTGCTGGGGGCAGGGATGACTATTCATAAATAATGCTCTGGGTTAGAGGCTATTTATTGATTTTAGGACCACAAAAAAGCCATTAATAAAACAAGATCACAAAAAGGGCTTAAAATATTTTATGTTCTGAAGAGCTTAAGGGAAACAAACAGCCCATATGTTTCAAAATATGTTCAGATAATATGCAAGAGATTTTTTTTGTTTGGGGTTGGTTTTTTTTTTGGTTTTGGTTTGTTTGTTTGTTTCTGAAAAAGGCCGGCCTGCAAGCTGAAGTCACCGATTTATGCCCAGAACAGGTGTGGATTTCTGACACACTGCCTCCTTCCCCACAAACAGGGCTTGATTTTGACCTCAGAAAACTAACACTAGCCACAGAAAGCTAAGTCACTGCTCTGACCTTGCAGTCCCTTGTACTCCTGGTAAGATGGGCACCATCAGCTGTGGTGATGACCTCAGGAACACACATGCTCCCTTCCTTTGAGAACACGACCTGGCAAACTCCTTCTACGTAAAAGGAACAACACAGCCCAAACAGGACAAAATTCTACTTTTCTAAACTATGTTTATGGGCCACAGACACATGCAAAATGAGTTCCACCTCTTACACAAAACCACCATCTGGGAAAGTTACAGGAGCTCAAATATACTTTGTAATATTTTTCCTGGTAAAAACAGGAGGCAGAGATGGGAAATCTGCCACTCAAAGGAAGCAGATTTGAAATTATCTGTTCTGATTAGAACCCTGTGTACTTCTTGGAAACAAGGGAAGGGATGATTCTAAGCACTATCTGTATGCAGGACAGAATTTGCTTATTTTTCTTGACTGTGGTTTCAGCACTGCTGTATTGCTTCATGTCACAGAAAAATGACTGGACATAAATCTCAGGGCAGTTTTAAAAGCCTTTAAAATACATATCTTGATACTACAACTTCTTATATTATTTCCTTTGATCCCAAAGAAAATATATAAACATAACAAAATACTACGAAAGTTATAGGTACCTCTTGAAGATCTGGCTCAAACTGCCACAGCTGCACTGATTCCAGTGAAGTGAGGATATTTCATATCAACTGGGGACTTGGTCTGAGAAAGGTGAAGGCACTCACCAGCATGTCAAATCGAGTGCATGTGCATTTAAGCTCATTTTACCTACCACAGAAAGCCTTTATGCTTTGAAGACATCTTTGAAAAATAAGACAGAGCTGTAATTCTTGCAGAAATGCAATTAATTTCTCATCTGGCTGAGAAAGCAATAGAAAAATAAGACCCAAGCTATATTTCCTTAAGTTCTGAGGAAGTTCAGCTGAGTTTTGAGAGCTTCATCAGTCAAAATGCCATGACTATTTGTTTGGCAGACCTGAGATGGGTTCCCAACAGCAGAAATGAGCCACAGTCCAGTCTGAAATAAATGTTCAGCTTCTCATGCCATAAGCTAAGATCCTTATTTCTGCACCAAGAATCACCTGATCCATGGCCACAACTGGCCAAGTTGTTTTTACAAGTCAAGAAAAGAGGAAGAGTCAACACAAGGAGAGTGTTATTTCAGATGACCCAAGCAGAATTTCAGTGTTTTGGTTTGACTTTTTTTTTTTTTTTAATGAGAGCAGTCAGTGCTAGAAGTTAATATTGTAACAATTCATGTGGAATTCAGCTCCCTAGAGAAGGCTCCAAAGTCCATGAGCAGCCTTCCCAAATGCCACTACGCCAGCTTCACTTACCCCCAGCCACCTTGCTCCTTTGTTGGCAGCCTGCTGAATCTGCACTTTTTTAAGGGTGACATTGTAGACGGCTCCCTCTTCTACCTCTTCACCCCCATCCTGAAATGTGGTCTGCCAGGAAAAGGAGAAAGAAACAAAAAACAAAAAAAAAAAAAAGATAAAAAGAAACATTTTTCCCCTTCTGCAGACCACAATCTATACCAGGTGCTCTGCTGCTTCTCGAAGAGCCGAGATGATGGGCAGCACAAAGTAAACACAACAATCAAAGCAATCCAGGATACCTTTAGGTTGAGGGAACACTGGAGATATTCTTGGCAAGCTGTCCTTTCCTGTGGTATCAAGATACCCGATTTTCCATTTAACTGTTTTTCCTAGACTAGCACATATTTTAAATAGTTGCATAGAGTCTTTTCTAAGTAAAGAGTTTGGTTTTGATTAGCAGTCTTCTCTTCCCTCTCCCCCCCCCTTTTCTGCAGCAATTAATCTCTTTGGCTTTCTAATTAAGGACGAGTCGCACTTTTAAAACTGCTGAATTACTTCGGCGGCCAGCCTTGAAACTTTGAAGCTAACAAGCACTTAAAACAGAGCAACATTTTAATTGTCTTGACAAGGAGGGATCTGAAGCGCTTTGTGGTTTGCTTTTCCAAAACCTATTATTGCAAGAACAACAAGGAAAAAAAACCAAACAAGGGTGGCAGACAGCAGGGTTTAAAACTCGCAAATAATGGAAAGCGGAGGAAAATAAAGCAGAGCGCAACGTCTTCCAAACTTCCAGCTAACAGAGACTCTGCTCGGCACCGGGCACCGCATCGGCACGGGGAACAGCATCGGTACGGGGAACAGCATCGGCACCGGGAACCGCATCGGCACCGGGAACAGCATCGGCACCGGGAACACCATCGGCACCGGGAACACCATCGGCACCGGGAACACCATCGGCACCGGGCACAGCATCGGCATCGGGAACAGCATCGGCACCGGGCACCGCATCGGCACCGGGCACCGCATCGCCCGGCACCGCTCGGCACTGGGCACGGCAGCGGGACCCGCGAGTAGGGGAAGGACAGGGAGAGGGACGGGACACCCGGTTACCATTTTGGCTCTCCACAGCAGTTTCATCCTCGGTGCCTTTCCCGGGCTCCTGGACGGGACACGCCGCGCTGCCCCCGCCGCTCCGCCCCGAGCGCGGCGGCCGCGGGCCGGGCCGGGCCGAGCCGAGCCGAGCCGAGCGGCCCCTCGGCTGCGCGGGAGGGAGCGGGGGAGGCGGCCCGGCCCTGGCCCCGCCTCGGCCCGGCCCCCCGAGAGCCTTCCTGTTTACTGCGGGCAGCCCCGGCCCAGGGGCGGCGGGAGCGGGGCTGTCTGCCCGGGTGTCCCCTCACAGGGACGGGCGCGGCGCGTCCTGCCCGGCTGCCGGGGAAAGCGCCTCTCTGCCTCCTTCCTTCGCTCTCCCTCCCTCGCCCGGTGCCCGGGCAGGGCTGAGGGGAGCGGGGGCGGTGGGGGGCCAGGGTGTTAATGCCGCCGTAAGGAAGGAATTTTAAGCCAAGCTTAACTTTAAAAACTTCTACGAGTTGGAAAGGAAATTAAAGGTTATAGTGAGCCTTAGCCCTGTCCAGCAGTCTCCCACAGTATCACAGAAACACAGAATATGCTGAGCTGGAAGGGACCCACAGGGATCACCCAGTCCAACCCCTGGCCCTGCACAGACACCCCAACAATCCCACCCTGTCCCTCAGAGCGTTCTCCAAACCCTCCTGGAGCTCTGGCAGCCTTGGGGCTGTGCCCACTGCCCTGGGGAGCCTGGGCAGTGCCAACCACCCTCTGGGGGAAGAACCTTTCCCTGAGACCCAACCTGACCCTGCCCACATGGCTCCAGCCAATTCCCTGGGTCCTGTCCCTGCTCACACAGAGCAGAGATCAGTGTCTGTCCCTCCACTGCCCCTCGGGAGGAGCTGCAGGCCCCGATGAGCTCTGACTTCAGTCTTTGAGTTGAACAGACCAAGTGCCCTCAGCCGCTCCTCATATGACTTCCACTCCAGACCCTTCACCATCCTCAAGGCTCTCCTTTGGATGCTCTCTAGTAGCTTAATATCCTTATTTTTTTCCATATTGCTCACAGATGAGCCCCTATGAGCCATGACCATCTCTGTAGAAGCTCCAGCTGCAGGCACTTGTGTGCTGACACGAGAATCTCAAAACACCCTAAAAAAACCACTTAATTATCTGCTGAGCTGTCTTTAATTACCTGCTTTTTGGGGCTTACAAATTAAAATAGAGGTGATTCAAGTGTGCAAATTCCTGTGCAAGGCATGAAAACGCTAAGAATTAACCCAGAGAGCTGAGATCTCCCAAAGCCCAACAGTAATCTCCAGCATATTAATGTTTTTATGTACACAAGTGTTAGTGCTGATGACCTGAGGAGCAGTGCAGGTTCACAGGCTGTTAGCACAAGCAGCTGTTAAGATGAGGCACCGTATGAAAGCAAGGAACATTATTTTAAGCTACGAAACCACGACCGAGCTGTGTGGTCACGGGTGACCTGATCTGCTCACTTGCAGGCTGTGCATTTAGTTTACTTGTGTGATCCTGAAGTGACCCTGAATACGCTGAGGCACACACAGGCTTTAATAACCTGACTCAAACATATTGTACCATACAAATCAAAGTCTAGATTTCCCAAAGTCCCTTGGCTTCTCCTGTAAAATTGCACAGAGCATTCTGAATGCTTTACATTTTGCAAACCGCTTTTTCACGTCATAATTTTAAGGTGCAGAAACCAGAGCGTGAGCTGAATCCCTTGTAGCCAGCCCTGCAGGCATGCGAGCAGCTTCTGAACAAGTTGCTATTGAACAGGACCAATGTATCAGTACATGAAAAGGGATATCTGGCTACAAGGACTACAACACCAAAGCCAAATAATTATTCTGAAATAAAGGTTTTTTCACAGTACCATGTTCTGGTGCTACAGTAAGTGCACTACCATCACTTTGGGTGGCAATCACCAAACAGTGGCTGTTACTTCTATTTCTTTAATAAAAAGAAAACAGCAGTGAGTTAATGCAGTAGAAAGGAGCTCATGTATTGATTCAATTTGGCAATCATGGCAGTCATCTGAAACAATCAAGTTTCAGACTGAATCCTTAGAGAACACCTTATGGAGAGACAAGCTCAGGACTTGCCATTCAAGGCAGGGCACAGCACTCTCAGGGATGTTGTTCCTGAATCCTTTTGGCCACTGACAAGCGACAGAGAGAAGCTCCGTCAGGAAGGAGCACCAGATGACCTCATCCAGTTTAGCAAGGAGCAAGAAACTACTCTTTTTATTCATTAGATTTGCCATTAGTCCTGCACAGAGTTAGAGTCCTTTCCAAAATATTTTTCGTGAGACACAGTGCCCAGACTTCAGAATTACTGAATTGTTTAGGTTAGAAACAGCCTCTAAGATCACCGAGTCCAACCATGTCACAGTGAAAGGTTACAGGAGGGACAGTAATCAGGCATTCTATTGATAACTGTCTCCCTTGGGAAAAGGATATTTCAAGGCCCCTAAAAATCTGCCTTATATCCAAACACTGATTATTTGACATTGAAAAGGGGGAAAAGCATACGTAACATTTAACTTCCATTTCGTTGCACTCTGATTCCATTATACAGTGTTCAACCACTTATTTGAGACCAAGAGACAGGGTTAGAAAGCACAGGAAAACACGAAGACAAAGCAGGCTCTGATTCACCTAAAAGATGTTCTCTTAAGGTTTCAAGGACAGAAGGAAGTATGAAACTAATAAGACAAGTCTGCAGCTCAATTTAGCAGAACTGCTGGGTTGCTCTCTTAGCAGACTTTAATCACAAAACCGATCTACACCAATGAAGCACACGGTCAACGCTGTGTTAAGCATTGGTTCTTTCCAAATCATGTTCACATGCAATAACTACATTCCAGCCATAATCAAGCTCTGTGCCTGCCCTTTCTACTGAATCAGAATTGTTCCTCTAACACATCTGAGCATTCCTTCCCCCTCGCGACAAGAGAGAAACACAAATCCACTTGTGAATGCAACCTTACACGTCTCACAGTGAAATGTTATATAAGGAAATACTTTGAGGTCTGGAAAGTTCTCAAACTGCAGATCATTGACCACTTACAGCCCAACAAGAACGGGCCGACTATCCACAGAGAAATAAGTCAGTTGCAGAGTGATGATTTTTCCTTGTTTTCAGCTGTTGCTACAGCTGGCACGCAGATGCTTTCATGAGGAGACAAAGCAAAAGACCTATAAAGCAGCTGGAAGTAAAGAAAAGCTCATCTGACTGCCTCTGCTTGGGGCCTGGCAGGAGGGGAAAAGGAAGCACAAGTCAGAGATACCCAAATATGGAAAATACTTGGGAGAGCAAAAGAAAAGGACAAAGCAACCAGGTGATGTAAGAATGGTCCCAAGCTTCTCCAGGAGAGGAAGAGGTCATGCAGCCTGAAAGGAAAGAAGCCGTGTACCTGAGGGCTGCACGCAACGTACCTTCATTGGGAAGGGATGCTCCCTGGGAGATGGGAAAGAAAAACACACCACTCTCTCCCTTTTTTAAAAAAATTTTATTGAAAAAGAAAAAAATAGGAAAAACACAAAAAGCTGTAAGTTCAGCCATGGTTTCAATGGTCCTTTCAATGGCAGTGCCAGCTCAAGCCATTTCCTTGGTGCTTGATTAGGCCAGGAGCCAGAACTGTTTGTGTGTTGGTTATGTGAGACATTTCCTAGTAACCGTGCCTTTGCAGTCAACATTTTTACAGTATTACCTTTCTTTCTGAAGCAATGCCACCTCAAGGGCACTACCTAAATGTTAATCGAGAAAAAAAGTTCCATGACACACTCTGTCTGTTCATCCCATAGGAAATATAAGAATCTATCATTTAGAATAAAGCCTGTCCAAAGAGACACACCTGCAATGCATCATACATTACAAGTGCACTGCTACAAAAGGAAATAAATACTGTTTCTATTAAGACTATCTCATTAGTAGTTATTCATCTGTTTTCTATAAACCACATTTAGTTCTTGCTTTTCTTTATGCCACATGCCCTCAATTTGATAATTAACAGGTGCTGTGGGCTACAGTTCTGGAGAAAACTGAAAAAAAGTCATATGCAGATGAACCACAAAAGCTACAGAATGCAGACACTAGAGAAACCCAAACACAAATCAGTTTTATATTGTGTTTGGCAGCAGACTCTGAACTGTAGCTTGGCTGCAGAGAGCTCTTTACCACAGAGACTATACAAGGTTCACCTGGGCCTGTTCCTTTCCGTTGTGAACACCTGAGTTCCAGCTTCTCACTCAGTTACACAGTTAGTTTGTCAGGGAGTGCTTCAGAGCTGCTTAACATTCAGTGCACTGCAATCTCACCTGCGCTGAAGGTCCTTTATGGCACATACCTCCTGCAGGCATTTTCATCCGCACGGGCAGTCTTTGCACATGCTGCTGTAGGGGGTAACAGAGGTGAGCCAGGTCCTCCATCTGCCTCATCTGGAGATAAAATAACGTGGATATTTATATTCTTTAAGTGACTGAGGTGCAGTATCATCACATCTCAGCCAGTAAGAAAACTTCTTGTAATCAAACATTCAATGTCAATTACAAACCACTAACTAATCAGAGGAAAAAAACCTGTTACATTATACACTATATCTGAGCTTCCACTGCCTGCAACCTTTGCAATCCTTGCTCCTGTGCAAAAGGGAAGACACTACTCTCCACTCACTCTGAACACTGTTGAAAGATGTGACAATGCAGTAACAGCTCAGTAAAGAACCAGACACACAAGTTCATCGTAATCTATCTTTGTTGACACCAGAACTAAACAGAAGCCTCCAAGTAATTGCAAATATTAACCAGATTCATTGCAAAATGCCAGAGGAAATGCACCAGAGCTCCCATACATAAAACTAAATTAATGATTCATAAGGCTGCATAATTAACAATGCTAAGTCAAAAAATTATGTAGTTAAAGAAGTACATCCAGCCTTCCCTGGCCCTCTCATTTCACATGTGATTGCAATTAGATAGGCATGCACTGTTTCACAGGCTGTGCTGTCCAGAGGGACATAATCTCAATCTGAGGGGCATATCTCCTCCAGGAACAGCGAGTCCCTGGACTCCCATTGGGAAAGCCTTCAAAACAGCACTGCACAGGCACATGGCTGG